GGCTCGAGTGGTCATAGGATGCGTGTGGGTGAGTGGCTGGCCCGAATGTGTGGGTGACGGAGGGAAGGCTGTTGGCAGGTAGAGATAAGGGATCCTCATTACTTGATGAATGAAGGGGTGGGCTATCCAAGAGGGGAGGCCTGAGAATTGGAGTGTCCTGGGCGGACTGATGGGAGCCCAACTGCAGAGGTGTGACAAGGGGGGTGGTTGGTGGGCTTTTGTGAGTAGGCGGCCCAGATGAAGGAGAAGAAGTTGGCTGCCCATCAGAAGAAGCGGACTGGGCTGGAGAATTAGGAGGAGTGGGTTGAGTGGTGCGCAAATGGTGAGGATGATTTAATGGATTGTAGTCCAAAAAATCGTAATCATCAGGTGTTGGCTTGTGATATTTCGAGCATGGAAATTCGGTCTCAATAAATTTTCACGTGCCGACAAATGATGATTTTGCCATTTGATAAATTATAGCACTTCGAACCACGATGATTTGGCGCGGGGCCAAGATACACACAAGGGGTGGACCGTTCTTGCAACTTGTTAATAGAAGTGGAAGGAAGAAGAGGAAAGCATAGGAAACCAAAGACCCGTAAAGCCGAATAAATCGGATCACGGTGATATAAAACTTGAGTGGGAGATTTATAATTTAGTACCTTGGTTGGTAGAATGTTGAGGAGATAAGTAGCCATGGCTAGAGCATGACGCCAAAAGGAATGGGGCAAGGAGGGTCCAAATGATATTATTGATTGATCTTATGTGACGCTCGGCTCTACCATTTTGTTGGGAAGTGTGAGGACAAGAAAGACGATATAGCATGCCATGATTTTCAAAAAAAATCTTTAAGAGTACCATTGACATATTCGGTGCCATTGTCACGTTGGAAAGTCTTAATGTTACGTTTAAATTGAGTATGAACTATCTTATGAAAGGATTGGAAGAGATGTTTAACTTGTGATTTCCTTGTAATAGGATAAGTCCATAAAAATTTGTTGTAGTCATCAAGAAGCAATAGATAATAACAATGACCAGAAGAACTAACAATAGGGGAAGTCCATAGATCATTATGAATTATATCAAATGGAAAAATAGTGCGAGACATAGAATCATAAAAAGGAAGTTTAACGTGTTTCCCTAAAGGACACGAGGAACAAAAAGAATTACAAGCCTTATTACATTCAATAAACTTGTTAGTACTCAAAGATCTAAGAACAGTATCGTCGGGATGTCCTAAACGATTATGCCAAAGGTCGGAAGAGACAACAGAGAGATTTGAATGAGTGACTGAGTTGGCTTGATTGCTTGGAAAAAGAGGATATAGGTCACCGGAACTGTCACATCTCATTAGGCGGGCTCCCGTCTGTAAATCAGTCACATAAAAACCATAAGGATCAAAGGAAATAGAAACCTTATTATCAGTTGTGAATTTTCGGACGGATACCAAGTTCTTTATTAATTTGGGAGCATGCAAAAATGGTTTAGGGTAAATGGTGGGTACGGGAAGGGTAGAGTAGCACTACCATGACCAATAACTGGAATTAAATCACCACTACCAACAACAATATTATGATTTTAATGCTCGAATTGACATAGGGAGAGAGAATACCTCGATCAGCCGTCATATGAGATGTTGCGCCAGTGTCCATATAATAGTTGGGGTCCGACTGATTGGGATTAGCAAGCATTTGCATAGCAGCAGCAATGTGAGTAGGAGTAGGATTCGGACCATTATCAAGTGCACTGTATGCTTGAGGAGATGGACCAAGAATGCCGGGCCCAAGTTGCTTGGAGCCTGTTGAAGAAGAAGCAGCCCGGGGTGCCCAAGATTGAGAGGGATACGGGCATGGAGGAGTAGGCCACTGGCCCAGGCACTGGTTCCAGGAAGGCCACGAAAATGGGCCTTGTTGAGGTTGCCAAGGCATGCCATTTGATGGGCCAGATTGCTGCTGATTTGAACCAAAAGAGCGCCCTTTACCAGAAGCCTTGGAATTCGACTTCTTTGGCTTGTTGGGTTTGGTGGTCGACCGTGAGGAGTTCACAGAAGACTCAAGGTGCTGCTGACTGCCGGTGGAGGAGACGAGGGCTGTCAGCGCACGGCTGGTGGACCCATTTTCCTTGGCCAGGCGGTTCTTGATGGTGCGCTCGGCTAGCTTGAGACGGGAACGACAACTCTCGAAAGATGGAAGAGGTTCTTGATTTTTGGATGAAATCCACCGTTCCGGCATAAGCCTCAGGAAGACCTGCTGTCAGTTTGAGAATGAGACGTGTTTCTGGAATCAGAGCATCAACATCCGCAAGACAATCGGCAAGGGATTTGATGTGATTGCAGTAGCCGTCAATGTCAGAGAAATTCTCGAAATCAAGGTCAGCAAGTTCTTGTTCGAGATGAGAAGCCCGTGCTGCTTTATTGTCCTGAAACATAGACTCGAGGCGAGTCCAAGCACCATGAGCGGTGTCATCCTTAAGTAGGATGGCAGTGAGAAGATCAGGGGAAATGGAGCCATAAATCCAATTAAGGACCGCGGCATCCAAACGCCTCCAATAAGCAAGGTCTGCCTTCTTGGAGGTTTCATAAGCCACCAGTTCAGAGGGTTCCGTAGGAGGAATGATGTGAAAAGTGAGATCGTGAACTCGATGTAGCACTTTAAAAAGCGCAGCCCACGAGTGATACAATCCATGATTGGTATCCAAGGTAATCGGTATAAGCGACTTTACATTGGTGATCGTAAAGGCAGGATGATACTTTGGTGTGTCAGCCATGGTGAATATGCAGCGGAAGACTAGAAAGAATAGGATAGAGAGGGATAGGATTGAAACCCTAATCTGATACCATGAAAGTAATATGATCGTTTGCTTCCTTTCATTATCTTTGTGGTATAAATACCCAATATACAAGAGATAAACTGAGCTGTTAACTAGGCTAGAAATTAGGCTAGAAGATATACATTTACTAAATTAGTTATATACAAAGTCAAACCAAATATATTGCCATATATTCTAACAATATTGCAAAGGCATCACCATATTGGATTATCGTGGAGCAACACATGTCGGTCAATTTAGTGTTTGATGATTCAGATTTTGAGTAATCTTGAATTGCAAGCTCCTCCTACAGTGAGTATTACTTCTGTTTATATTGAGAAATTTGGTTATGATTTCATGAAGTTTGTTGTTAAAGGGCATAAGCTTCCTACCACTTTGATAAGTTCGAGTAGTGGATTTCTCTTTCTTTCCCTCGAAAGGAGGAATTGTCGTAGTAAGGACTTTTTTGTCTTTAACCCAATCACCCATGAGTGGGTTCCGATTCCGAAACCACCTAAAGAATTATATAATTATAATCATGTTGGGCTTATTACAGAAGTTAGTGAAGATATTAGGGTTTTAGAAAAGTTTATAGTAGTCAATTACCTCTTGGAGGAGTCGCTGATGTGTTTTTCATCTGAAACTGGGACTTGGGAAAATAGGAAAATATATGTATGATATATTTTTTGTAGATATTATTAAGAGAATAATATATTTAGGTTTATTTATGTTAAGATATAATTTAGTGAATATATTTATAGGATATATAATTATGGTATTATATCTGTTAGGAAGATTGTTTACTACCTTTTGTTCGTAGGTTTTGTATAATACTCTACATATTGTTCATTAATAAAATCAAGCCATTTTATCATCTCTTTCACCCTAATTTTTTTGATATCAAGAGCAGGTTAGATAATCTTAAGAGTGTTTACAAAAAATTTCCCCCTACCGGTAGGTTAGAAAATTAAACCCACTGGTGGGATTTATGAACCTTTAGCAAAAATTACAAATTTTTTTCTTTTTCCTGATTTACTTCCGTTGTGATGATTTTATGTTTTTATATCATGAGTGGCTTGATTAAGATGATCGTAGGTCTTTGATCCTCAAAGAAGAAGATAGGTGCTAATGTGGCATCGATCTAGGTTTTTTTATTTCTTTTTCATAAAAAAAAAATTAGCTCTCTTGTGTCGTGAGACAAGATATGTTGGTTTTCCTTGTGCCGTGAGACAGGGTTTTATATATGGGTTCTCCTTGTGTCATGAGACAGGGATTGGTTTCCTTGTACCTTGAAACGACAGGACAAGCATATTGGTTTCCTTGCACCTTGAGACGACAGGATATCATATCTTGAAACGACAGGGCAAGCATAAAAAAAATTAAAATTTGAAGGCGGTATCAACAGAGTTATGCAACTCGATCGATTTCAACAAAGTGAAGAATTTCCAATCGCAACGTTCGTGTTACTGTCGTTACGATTGCGGGAGGGTGTTAAAGATATGTGATATCAGAAAATTGGAAGATATCATTAAGAGAATAATATATTTAGGTTTATTTATATTAAGATATAATTTAGTGAATATATCTATAGGCTATATAGTTATGGTATTATATCTTTTAGGAAGATTGTTTACTATCTTTTGTTCGTATGTTTTGTATAATACTCTACCTATTTATCAATAATAAAATCAAGTCATTCTATTATCTCTTTCACCCTAATTTGTCAATTTTTTTATATGTTTCTTTCGTAGGGGGTTTTCATAGTCTCCATTGCTAGATTTTTTTTAATTTTTATTTTTTAAAAGGTTTTCCTTCTCTTTTTTTCCCTTTTCTTTCCATCTTTAGCATCTCTTTTCATCTTGATCTCAGTTGTGAATTTTTATAAGGGCTTCCATTGATGTTCTTATCGGTGGCAAGCCCCAAAATCCTTTTTAATTGCTTTCAATATATAGATCTCATCACTGAGATGATAGATTTTCTCTTGTGTTTATTTTATTTTTTTGTTTGTATGACTAGAATTGAAGATTTAGGGTTTCATACCATAAGAATACTACATGAGTATCTTCAATGGCGGATCTAAAATTTGTCTCGAGTGGGTTCAATAAATTCAAAGTTAGCACATAGTTCCAATAATAATGAATTTTATACATTATACTTGTACCAATTGCTTCATGTAATGTTTTAAATTTTTAAATAATTAATACTCTGTATTTAATCAACAAAATTGCTTCGGTACCAATTATATCTGTATGTAAGGTACGAAGTATGCGTAGATGAACCATAGAGAAAGAAATCCAAAGAAAATCTTTTATATATAAAAAAAATAATAATAAAATAGGTTATCAAAGTACATGTGGTACTAATTGCTTTTTCAGCCCTAGTACATAAACCCTTAACAAAAACTTTTATTTGCAGAATTTTTCATGTGACATACTGTATTATGTAAACCATTATATTTATACACTTATAACTTAATTGTGACTAATCACATCACTAATAAATAAAGTCGGTCTTGCAGTCAGGCCACGAGACAGTGACACTTGGCATTTCCAAACACCACTGTACTATTTCCTGTTAACAAACAAGGACATAAGCCATGTATGTGTGAGAACGGAGCTTATGAGCACAAAGGAAAAAAAATAAAAAAAAAATAAAAAAAAAAAAATAAAAAAAAATAAAAAGAAGAAGTGGTAATCTAAATCTCAGAGAGTCAAAGCGGCACTTCTATATTTTGGCCACAAAGTGTGGATGAGGGGGCCTTTTTGTCATGGCCAAGCTAGTTGAGGAAGGTACAAGGAGAATCGGTCATGGGTTTCTTACAGCATATAGTGAGTTTTATATCTAAAAAATAACAAATTTAATCACAAAATACAAAAAATATTTTATTTAAAAAATGTAAAGAAACTGTGCATCGCACCGGTTTCATCTAGTATGATAATGAAAGTTTCTCAATTGAGTTAATACCTGCAAAAGCTATAACTCTGTTTTAATAGGATTTTTTCCTTTTTTAATTTTTTTTTTATATTACGGAGATTTTTTTTTCTGAGGAAAACAGAGCAATTCATTCATTAATAAGAAAAGTTTGAATAGATTTTCAAGATAAAAATGTTGTATAAAGTTTTATTATCGATATACTTCTAATATTTTATATATACAAAATCAATCATAACTTTTAATAAATATCTTATAACTCGGTAATATTTCCAACATTAAATTCGATTTAAAAACTTCTTTAAACTAAGATTCATTTAGAATATATTTAATTATTTACAAAAATAAGAAATTAGTGAAAATAAGTTTTAATCAAGAAAAATAATTTTAGTTTTGGTAAAAATACTTTCAGTTCAATAATATATAATTTCAGTTCAGTATGTTTAAATATCTTGCATCATTAAAAGGCATTAAAGGACCGTATTTAAGTATTTAACATTCAATCTAAAAATTTTATCCTAAACTTTTATCAACCATTTTGGCATCGTCCGAGCACAAAATACATCTAATATTTTACATATATATATACAAATTAATCATAACTTTTAATAAATATCCTATAATTTGGTTCTTATTCCCATCATAAAAATTGTTTTCAAAAGTTCTTTAAAATCAGATCCATTTAATTATAATATATTTAATTTATTTTAAAAATAATAGAAAATCAATAAAAATAAGGGTTACTTTGTCATTTTACAAGCGGTCACATGGTGTGGCCAGCCGCACACAAGATGAACTGCAATTATTATATAAATAAGCGATATTATTTTATATGCCTAAATATCTAGCATTAACAAAAGAGATTATATGACCGTATTTAACATTCAAGCCAAAAAAATTATTAACAATCTGGGCATTGCCCGGGCACAAAACTAGTTTATATAAATAAAGTAGGCATTTTTCAGGAGCATTCGGAGCGCCACATAAGCAAAAGCATTAATTCAACCAATGAAAATGAGACTCGCATTTTCTTTTAGAATAAAAAAAATCAATCGCCACATAAGAAATATGAACTAATGAGATTAGAGATATATAAATGCACCAAAAGAAACAAAAGAAACAATAAATATCCTCTCTTTTGCTTTCAAAACGAATATATATATATATATATATATATATATATATATATATATATGTGTGTGTGTGTGTGTGTGTGTGTGTGTGTGTGTGTGTGTGTGTGTGTATATAGGGAGGGATCCGGTAAGAACCCCTCCTTATATAAGAACCCTAGTTATATAAGAACCAATCTCAACCGTAGGATTAAGGTAATTTAGACGGTTAAGATTAAAACACGTATTTTTCCTCATACCCCCTACGGCCCTACCACCCGATCAAAATTTTCTCTCTCATCTAACTTTCTCTCTCTTCGTGCTCATCACATTCTCTCTCTGCAAACCCCCAAAAATCTCCATAGAAATTGCAATTTGAAGGATTTTCGACTCAGGTATGTTTTTTTTTTCGATTTTGTTCAAATTTCCATGAACTTAGCATGTTGTTCAAGTAGATTTTGCGATTTTTTGTTTTGATTTTTGCGATTTTATGTTTTCCGATTTTTTGATTTGATTTTGCGTTTTTTTTTTTTTTGTTCAAATTTCCATGAACTTAGCATGTTGTTCAAGTAGATTTTGCGATTTTTTGTTTTGATTTTTGCGATTTTATGTTTTCCGATTTTTTTATTTGATTTTGCGTTTTTTTTTTTTGATTTCGTTCAAATTTCCATGAACTTAGCATGTTGTTCAAGTAGATTTTGCGATTTTTTGTTTTGATTTTTGCGATTTTATGTTTTTCGATTTTTTGATTTGATTTTCGGTTTTTAATTGAATTTTGATTGTCAATTTGTGCTTTGTAACTGAAATTGGTGGTAAGTTTCTACTGGTAATTAGAGTTTTGCGTTTTAAATGAATTTTGATTGTCAGTTTTGTGCTTTGCAACTGAAATTGGTCCTGAGTTTTAGTTGATATATTAGA